ACAACCCACAATTCCTCTATTCGCTCCGACGAAGGGCTAACGCTCGAAACGTCAGCTTTTATAATCGTAACGGTGGCCAATTTACCATTTCAACTTTGTTTATATATTCAAATTAGAGTTTACTTTAGCCCATTTGGATTGTCAAAAGTCGATGGAGCCATTCAAACTGAATTTAAATTAACAGTGTTAGAGAGAAAGTTGTTGGGTTACAAAATATTCCCAAACTTGGAGAGAGAGACGGCATGTCAGAGTTTTGAGGTTTTTGATACCTTACTTTTTTTTTGCAGCTGGTGGCTTTGATTACGATTCTGATCGAGCTCTGAATGAAAGACATTCAGAAGGAAAAGATGAAAAATATTTTGCAAAGAAAGGAAACTCATCCTTCGAGGTGGCCAAAGGTATTAATTTGAATTCATACTTTTTTTTTCAGTATGTTCCATGTCAGTGCGTGAGTTAGGGGCGGGTCATTACTTATTGCCTCAGTGGGAGGGGTGGGATAGGTTGGTGGTGTCTCAATGTAATTCAATATAATTTGAGGCTTTGTAACATTCTAATTACTTCCCCGTTATTGTCAGTCAATTTTCTATAGCCTCCCGATTATCCTTCGTAAGTAACCACTGATCTCCGTACATTCTCTCCAAAAACCATGTGATCCACCTAAAAATCTTCCAAACCTCAGAGAAGAATACAGCATTAATTGGCACGTCAGAGCTTTAGTGTTTTACTGCCTTTTAACTTTTGTTGCCGGTGCCTGTCGATCTGCAGAAGAATGCCCTCTTCAGGATGATGAAAAGCCAGATGATTTTCAGGAAAAGTCGGATCGTGAGTCCTCTGAGAAGAAAAAGCTTAAGTCCCCGACTGAGAAAGGGAAGACATCTTCCGAGGCGGAAAAAGGTGTGAAGTCTTTGAAAATATATTGTTATAGTTTTAATTTGATATGACTTAGTGAGAAGAAATATATACCCTGTTAGTGTAACTATAGCGTCGTTTGAAAATTTTGAAAACCCGGAAGAGAGTCGTGTATTGGGTTCTTTTTCTCTATATTGCTTTTGAAAAATTTGAATATATGGTGTAGTGTAGAACTTATGAAGGAATTCCATTTTGCGGATTAATATTACATTTGTATTTCTCTCTTTTTCTTTATTTACGGATTTAGAAAAGTGCTCATGGATATAATCTGATCAATTAGATTTACCCTAACCTATTTGAATACTGAGAGGATATCCCTGTTGGTACAGCAATTCAGACTGCTTCACAATGTTAGGGGCAGGGGAGAATTTTTTGTCACACCATCTCCTAAAACTCAGAGAAGAATACAGCAATAGCCTATAATGAATAGCACGTCTAAGTTTAATGCCTTTCAATTTTTGTAGCCGGTGCCTGTCGATTAGCAGAAGAGGGCAACTCATCCTCAGAAGCAGCAAAAGGTATGAACGTTTAAATAGTATATTGCTATGTTTTTCTTTTAGTATGTTCCACTACAATGATCTTGTAAACTGACCAGGAAAAAGATCCTTGCGGGCGTAATGATGAAAGTGCCGTAATGATGAGAAGTCTTTGTTCGAAACTAATCTCGAAACTAATCTCGAAACTAATCTCGAACACAGAGCCTCTCCTGTGACTAAAAAGTAGCCTTAGTCAAATCTCGGCTTTATTCTTACTGAAACTCTCGCCGCTGAAATCAGCAAAGTTTCCGCGGGAGCATTCCACACTGGACTGAAATATCAGACCTCTTCATATCATTCTGAGGGCTCGAAGAGCTACCGTTGAAGTTGTAGGCCAGTAGGCTCCTTCTTCTGTCCAACAACGCTTAACGTCCTTTCCATACCTTCAGGCTTTGTTTGTGATAACTTAACCCTACTGGCGGACGTCAGCAGGCTTAAAATAATAAAGGATATATCTTAAGTTAACCTGGCATATTTGGCGGCCTCCGCTAACAGCGTGTTTCAGCTTCTTGCCGTTTTTCTTGAAATAACTTGCAAAAATCTGTCGAAAGAGACAGGAAACCCAAGTTTTGGTCTCAAAACCACAATCAGATTTAACAAATGGCTCTTCGGTCCAATAGAAACCCAGTTTTGTCCGAGAACAGATATTAACTAGGCAGACAAGCTGTAAGACATTTAATCCGTCTCATTCACAGGGAACACTGCTATAACTACACCAGCTACTGCATATGAAGTGAACAACGACGACTGGCTTTCCCAGAACCAAGGGAACTCCAACCCCCCCTGGAAAACCGGTAAGTTAAACTTCTTTTAAAGGGCTAGATATTTTCCTCTTTGTTTCCTGGTTACACTTGGTTTCTGGCAATAATAATAATAATAATAATAATAATAATAATAATAATAGTAATAATAATAACACCTTTATTTAGACACGATAGTGTTTAAAGCTGAACAGTTTGTGGGGTCGTGTGTAAATCCAAGTAAACTCTAAATTAAATAAATTCAAATGATGATGGTTTTTGAGGAAAAACCCGAGTACCCGGAGAAAAACCTCTCGGAGCAGAGTAGAGAACCAACAAACTCAATCCACTTATGACGCCGGGACCGGGAATCGAACCAAGGACACATTGGTGGAAGGTGAGCGCTCTCACCACTGCGCCAACCCTGCTCCCCCAGAGGCCACAATTAGTAGTCAAGTGCAATAGTGTACGTGAACCGAGTGCACCCGGCCACTGTACTTCGAGAAAATCTGCTTAACTTATTCGTCCTCCGTAATTCCGTTAGAATACTTCCAACTACGGCCTGAACACAATTTCTTCAACCGGTACCAGAACGGGAAACTTTTTTCCAAAGGAGTTGGGCAACCGGAACATTGAGTCTCATTTGTGAGATGATACTTTTGTGTTAACGCCCCTTACTTTTTGACGCTTAAAAGTTTTTTGATATTTTAAGAACTAAGATTGTTTAATTCTTGTTGACAAAAACAATTTTTTTACATTTTTGTTATCCTTGTTATTTTGCACTATACTGACAATATAATGGTTCGGTTATAGCTTTACTTTCTTGATAGATATGCATGCATTGCGAGGAGTTTAACCGGGTTGTTCCTCCCCAGCTTATAAAAGGTTACCACTACCGTTCTGTGCGTTTAAGATATTTAGTTTAGAGTATCAAAGTAACGCATAGTTCACTCAGATTCTCTACAATGCTTATCACTTTCTTTCTTTTCGCAGAAGGTCAAGGATTCTTTGGCAACATGTTTTGGGGATTGTATTATCACGCTTCCTCAAACCTATAGGTAAGCCTGCCTGTGTTTGAATTAACCTCCGTCCCCCTTTGTAAATCACCTTTTTGACCCTGTTTGTATTATATGGTTTCCCTCAATTCTATGTCTATTTACATGGCATGGGTCTCAAAAACTTACTTGACAGGCTCCTCGACTGCAGTTATCAGATACGGTAGTTGATTTCTAACATATGCTGTCATCTGCAACGGTCTATCTCGCCTAATTCAAGTGATTGTGGGAAATGTTTCAAATTAATGTAATTTGCAACTTTCGATTCCTCGAGTCGATCTGTTCGCAGATATAGTGATCTTGTGGATTTCTGAAACTATTTATTCCCTTCACCCCACTTTCAATGGACTGTCACTCATCCACATACAAAAAAATTATTACATTTTAGTCCATCTATCGGTATATTACTGCAGAGACATAGAAAAGCTGCCGATCACAGCTCATGTATCTATTTTCTTCTCTTTTGTGCAGGTTTCCTTGCTCCAGGACCATCCTTGCAATTATCAGTTGTAACTTAGTATTGTAAAAATGTCGAGAAACGATTGAGTTTAAATATAGTAACATAAGTAGCTACTATGTAGTTCACGTTGTGAACATTTTGTAAAATGAGGAGTTGAGTTAAGTATTGTAAATATTTATTTGACACAATTGAAAATATGGGCATATCATTACATGCCATTCTTGAAAAATAAAATCTTTATCGCTGAATTATTTGTTTGATATTTGTTAAGTGACAATGGTCTTTTAACCTGGGTCATAGCAACTTTTTCATTTCTTGGGTTACAAGTACTTTTGCGTGATGTTAAGGAAATGCGTTCTTCTTTCAAAATGAAAGGCTTTGGATGTTAGAAAAAATTGTTATGTTTTGCTCAATACTGATTCTTAAGGAGTCAAGAAACCATACTCCACTGGTCAGAGTGAACTTAGTCGCTTTTATTGCCCATTCTTGAAGACCTACAGGTCAAAACATCCTATCTTGGAGACGGTGTAAGATAAGAACCGGATGGGATCTGTTTATCCCGCTGAACTGCATACCCCCCCCCCCCCTAACACCTACAGGGGAGTACACTTAATAGAAGTTTGGGCGAATCTTGAGGCCCCAGTGTAAGTTTCAGATACAGCAACTACAAATCGAAAAGCCTCCAAGGATTGTGTGGATTTGAATGGTTTGTATTTTGATGCACACGATGTAAGCTAAAAATGATTTAGAAATATTTGCCCAGTAGTCTTAAGGGTAGACATGGGAGTGAAGCTTGCAACCCTTAGAAAATTTGATAACCCATCATGAACAGGAAATTTGGCTATTACGTGAAACAGGCAGCTCAGAATTCTCAATTACTTTGGCAAAAACAGTCTGGTTCTTTTTTTCGTCTAACTCAGAGTTCTCGGTTTCAAAAGGAATTAAAACAAATCATTCAAACTTTATGAGCTGATTGTCCTTTGACAATATCTGTTCCTTGCGAAATTTGCTTCCGGACTAGATTCGTCTTCGCCTCGTGTAATGGGTGATCTCAACAAACCAATATCCTGGTACAAATAAATAGGGGATGAGGTTTATACAACTTATTACTTAGCCTGAAGAATGAATACGAAGATAACTTGAGGAGCATCTGATTCCACGATGAACCGTTGATCAGCCGAGTTCTTTCCTGATTGTCTGCTTTACTGTCCGCTTTAACTCCACACTTTTCCAGCAGTAAATTAAAGAGTATTTAATACATAGGTGCGCATAGGTACTCAGCCGTAAGTTGTGTGTTAGACGAGATAAAAAGGAATGGCAAAAATTGTAATTAACTGCCTTTTTGAACAATAAAGTATTGGCAAGACGGCTTTTTACGAATTTTGTGCAATATAAACTCTTACCGCCCGTGGCTTTAAAGTAAGTAAATTTTTTATTGAGAATTTCAATGAAGAACTAAGCGCTACCGGAATAAATCTATAATCTTAACATGGGGAGCGCTTGGCACACAATAAAACTTTATGTAAGATTATTATTTATAAACATTATTTACTTTATGTATATCCCACTGCCAGTAATTGTCTATTCATCATACTCGTGATCATAGAGATTTGCGAGACAGTTCGAATAATTTAAACCTTTAAAAACATCTTTCGGAAGATAAAGTGGAAACTTGGTTGAAAATTCCAATTTTCTTGATTTCACGTAATTATTACTTCCGAAGAAAAATAACTTGAAATTGGTTTGGCTTGAATGCTTTGAAGAAGATTGAACCAAAACTGCTCCTCTTAACTACTAAACTAGCGTGCAACTTCCGGAAAAAAAAGCTTTTTTTTACTAAAAACTCTTGTATGGTTTACAATGAAATGTCCCGTTCCAGATTATTAAACGAAGATATCGATGCGACTTTTTCAAGAAATGTTTGTCGGTAGATATCATTCCTGTCCTTTAGAGATGACGTCCTCCCACTACTAGGAAACCATTCGGACATTTCCAAGTTTTCTAAATCCATTACATTCCAATAAAGTTCAGTTTTACTCGTAGCTCTCAGGGTGTAGATGACACTTGCCGCTTTTCAAAGTCAAATGCCACATTGTCGCCAATCAGTATGAACGTAGCCTATTGATTAACTTCGTCAAAATCGTTACTTCTCATCCACTTCCTGGCCTGGTGTAGAGATTCACTAGCACTTTCACCGTGGTACAAATGTTCGTAAAAGCGAGTCATGAACTGCTCCGTGGCTTCGTACCCTAGAGCCCACCGCGCCGCTAATACTGAACGAGCACCGGATCCAAGGAAAGCTCGAGCGATTCCAATAACTTCCTCTGTTCTAATCTGTCCACGAGCACTGTGACAACAGCTTAGAACCACCAGTTTAGCACGCAGCTGAATTTTTGAAATATCATCCATCGTCAAAAGGTAGGCTTCTTCTCGGGGGGAACACGGCTGTTTGCACGCTCGAGGGATAGAACAATCTCTCCTCGTTCATCAAAGCCACGAGCAGCAAAATGAATCAGGCTCACGGAGTCTATTGCTTGCAGTACAGCCTGCTTTGTTGCGTGGTTTCCGATCAAAGCTGTCACGCCTAGGAGTTCTGCAATCATTTCTGCCTCCTTTTTTGCGTTCGGCAATGGTGTTATTTCCTTACGTCTAGCTTCAGAGTTGTCAAAGACGGAACGACGGGGATCATTTTTGTTTCTGATAACCATTTACTTTCTTGTTCAGTCAAGGTTGCAAATAGAACTTGATACATACAGGGATCAGGAACAATTATGATCTCGCGCTCGTTTAATAGATGGATCACGGGAGCGATAATAATCTTGTAACACAAGTGAAGACTTGTTCCAATGATATCTTTGACAGGGTTGCAAAAGCTTTCTCTTAAAAACTCATCTGAGTCAGGTACTCATGCGGTCCTCTCGTTTTTGTCCAGACTAACTTTCTCTTCTGAGAAACAAACCACTCCGGTTGCTTTCTGAACCCAACACCGTACATCGTCTTTACCAACGGAGATGTAAAGGCAGGTACAGTCAGTTCCTTTTGTAATAATGTTTTCAATGCCAAACCATGAATGTGGATTTCCTGAGATCTGCTGTTCAAGAGAGTATCGAGCTGCCATCAAGTCGGCTAGGCCTCTTGCCCGTTTCAACTCTTCGACATAAAAAGCATATTGTGGCTTCCCGCTGGAAGAAAGCAGATAACTGAGCAACTTGTATGAAAAGGTACCGTGCGTCTCTAAAAGAGATACTTTAAACTGATCGCCATCTTTAAGAAAACCACGCAAAGTATCGAATTTCTCAATGCTCTGATGAAGATACGAAAGGGCTTCTTTGCAATCAAATAGAGATAACTTCAACACTGTTAGACTACGAAGAAACTGAAACTCTTCCAGGTTGGCTCCAATCTCCCTGCTTCATGAAAGTGCCTTTTGAAGGCAGTCTTCATCCACTTCATATTTTCGAAGCGAATGAAAACATTGTGCTAAATTTGCGTAAGAGGCTGCTTCTCCATGTTTGTCGCCATCTTCCGTGTAGATTGTCAGGGATTTCTTGAAAAATTCTTGGGCCTTGTCATACTGACCAGACTGATAGGAAATGTGTCCAAGTAGTCCGTAATCTGTTGCCTCCCTGGGTCTGTCACCGATCTTCATTCTAATTGCCCGTGCTTTCTCTAGATAGTCGTCGGCTCTTGGATATTTGCCGCGTTGCAAAAACAAAGCTGTTAGATGTCTATAAAAACTTGCCTCGCTTCCTCGAACTTTTATTGACTTTGCAATCCGCAGTCCTGCCTCGAAAAATCTTTCGGCCTCGCCCAATTCACCAAGTATTCTATATATCGCTCCAAGGTTTTCAGATCTAGCTGCTTCTCCTTCCTTATCGCCGATTTCGATTCGGATAGCGAGTGCTTTCTCCTGATACTCTCGGGCCTTGTCATATTTACCAAGCGAATGGAACAATGCTCCTTGGTTTCCGTAGCTGCTGCTTCTCCTTGTTTATCGCCGATTTCTATTTGGATAGCAAGTGGTTTCTCGTGATACTCTTGGGCCCTGTCATATCTACCAAGGGAATGGAACAATGCTGCTAGTTGTCCGTAGCTTGCTGTTTCTCCTTGTTTATCGCCGATTTCGATTCGGATATCGGGTGCTTTCTCTTGATTCTCGCGAGACTTGTCATATTTACCAAGCGATTGGAACAAAGCTCCTAGGTTTCCGTAGCATTTTGCTTTTCCTTGTTTATCGCCGTTTTCTATTTGGATAGCAAGTGCTTTCTCCTGATACTCTCGGGCCTTGTCATATTTACCAAGCGAATGGAACAATGCTCCTTGGTTTCCGTAGCTGCTGCTTCTCCTTGTTTATCGCCGATTTCTATTTGGATAGCAAGTGGTTTCTCGTGATACTCTTGGGCCCTGTCATATCTACCAAGGGAATGGAACAATGCTGCTAGTTGTCCGTAGCTTGCTGTTTCTCCTTGTTTATCGCCGATTTCGATTCGGATATCGGGTGCTTTCTCTTGATTCTCGCGAGACTTGTCATATTTACCAAGCGATTGGAACAAAGCTCCTAGGTTTCCGTAGCATTTTGCTTTTCCTTGTTTATCGCCGTTTTCTATTTGGATAGCAAGTGCTTTCTCCTGATACTCTCGGGCCTTGTCATATTTACCAAGCGAATGGAACAATGCTCCTTGGTTTCCGTAGCTGCTGCTTCTCCTTGTTTATCGCCGATTTCTATTTGGATAGCAAGTGGTTTCTCGTGATACTCTTGGGCCCTGTCATATCTACCAAGGGAATGGAACAATGCTGCTAGTTGTCCCTAGCTTGCTGTTTCTCCTTGTTTATCGCCGATTTCGATTCGGATATCGGGTGCTTTCTCTTGATTCTCGCGAGACTTGTCATATTTACCAAGCGATTGGAACAAAGCTCCTAGGTTTCCGTAGCATTTTGCTTTTCCTTGTTTATCGCCGTTTTCTATTTGGATAGCAAGTGCTTTCTCCTGATACTCTCGGGCCTTGTCATATTTACCAAGCGAATGGAACAATGCTCCTTGGTTTCCGTAGCTGCTGCTTCTCCTTGTTTATCGCCGATTTCTATTTGGATAGCAAGTGGTTTCTCGTGATACTCTTGGGC